ATTTTATTTTGTATATTAAAAATATATGTATTCATGTAGTATATAATAAAAGATTTATTTTTTTATTTAAGGCAAAAATGTTTTAAAATACACTGCTGGTAAGAACTTACAAAAGGAAAAGTATATTGGAAAACCTCATAGAAGTTTAAAAAATTCTTTAAATTTAAAATAACCAGTTTAAATGGAAAGTTAGATTTATATTTAAGAATTAGGCTGGTCCGATGGTAGTGGGTTATTAGAACTTATTAACATTAATGTTGGCCGGACGTGATGGCTCACGCTTATAATCCAAACACTTTGGAGGCCAAGGTGGGCGGATCACCTGAGGTCAGGAGTTCAAGACCAGCCTGATCAACACGGTGAAACCCCGTCTTACCAAAAAAAAAAAAAAAAAAAGTTAAGATAAATAAATAAATAAATAAAACACATTAATGTCACTTAAGTTGATATACAACCCCCACTGCTAAATTTGACTAGCTTTAAAAAAATTTTTTTTTAATTAGGCAGCCATAAAAAGAATGAAATCATGTCTTTTGCAGCAACACAGATGGAGCTGGGCCATTATCCTCAGTGAACTATCCTCAGTGAAATAATTCAGAAACAGAAAATCAAATAGTGGTACACATAGATATAAAGATGAAAATAACAGACCACTCCAAAATGGGGAAGATTGGGAGGGGACTGAGGATTGAAAAATTACCTTTTGGGTTCAATGTTCAGTATTTGAGTGATGTGTACACTTTAAGTCCAATCCCCACCGTTACATGGTATACCGATGTAACTAACACACACAAACCCTCTGAATCTAAAATAATTTAAAAAGTAAAAGTATGCTTCCTAGAGTTTGCCCTGAAAAAGTCAACTAGTATAGCTTGCTTGCTTGCTTGCTTGCTTATTTATTTATTTATTTGAAGACAGAGTCTCACTCTTTTGCCCAGGCTGGAGTACAGTGACGTGATCTCAGCTCACTGCAACCTCTGCCTCCTGGGTTCAAGCGATTTTTCCTGCCTCAGCCTCCTGAGTAGCTGGGACTACAGGCATGCACCACCATACCCTGCTAATTTTTGTATTTTTAGTAGAGATGGTGTTTCACCATATTGGCCAGGCTGGTCTTGAACTCCTGACCTCAAGAGATCTGTCTGCCTCAACCTCCTAAAGTGCTGGGATTACAGGTGTAAGCCACAATGCCTGGCCTAGTATAGCTTTTTAAAATGAAGGATAATTTGTTTATGATGTGACCTCTAAAAAAGTTAATTGTGGTGTCATAAAAGTAGGATTATATCACTCCTAGTACCACCATGGTAAAGGAGATGAACTGAAACATCTGAATCCTATTTCTTAAATGAAGAATAATAACTTAAGGATCAATAGTTGTTTTATATAATAGGTATGGGATAAGAAATAAAAAGTCCTGGATCTTTTCCATGAAGTAGTTGGTCTCAGGATAAGTAACAGTGTAATTGTAAGAAAATCTTTTATGGTAAGCAATTTCTTTTTCAATTTCATCAGTTATTGGTAGTAAGTTTTTTTTTCAAAGTTCTAAATTATGAAATTGTACTTGAGTGAAAGTGTAGTGTTTAATTTGTAGCTCAGCCTGGGATATCGGTTTGCCAGTGATAGGTCCTTGAATGCATTTTCCCTTTCTGTCTGTTTTTGATTAACCTTCTCCTTTCTCTATGGTGAATGAGTCAGCTATTTCATCTTCCTGTTTGTCTTATTTATTTATTTAGATATCGACTTTCTCTCTTGTTGCCCAGGCTGGATTGCAGTGGCGTCATCTCGGCTCACTGCAACCTCCACCTCCCAGGTTCAAGTGATTCTCCTGTCTCAGCCTCCCTAGTAGCTGGAATTACAGGTGCCTGGCACCATGCCCAGCTAATTTTTGTTTGTATTTTTAGTAGAGACAGGGTTTTGCCATGTTCACCAGGCTGGTCTCAAATGCCACCCGGGCCTCCCAAAGTGCTGGGATTACAGGCATGAGCCACCACCCCGGCCCTGTTTTCTCATTTTTAATCTCCTGTGTATTCTGTAGAAGGGATCTAATCTGGATAATCTTGGTTGACTAAATTAGACTAGCTTAGCTTGGAAGGGTTACCAAAACAGCTGTTTTTTTGTTTTGTTTTGTTTTTTTCTGAGATGGAGTCTCGCTCTGTTGCCCAGGTTGGAGTATAGCGGCATAATCTCAGCTCACTGCAGCCTCCACCTCCCAGGTTCAAGCGATTCTCCTTCCTCAGCCTCCCGAGTAGCTATGACTAAGGTGCCCATCACCACACCTGGCTAATTTTTGTATTTTTAGTAGAGGCAGGGTTTTGCCATGTTGGCCAGGATGGTCTTGATCTCTTAACCCTCGTGATCTACCCGCCTCAGCCCCCCCAAAGTGCTGGGATTATAGGCGTGAGCCACCACACCTGGCGAAAACAGTTGTGTTGTACAGTTAGCTTTTCTGCCAATATTGTTTATATTGGAAAATTGATATTCCCTAGACCTTGTTTTTAGAGCCCTGTGAAAGCTCTCTTTCCTTCTATCTGTATAGCCCTCTGTCCTGACCAGAATATTTTGTTTCCTGTCCCCTAAATAATGCCCAGTGATTTATAAGTACAGTGCATATATAAGGCATAAGTATGTCCCAGATGACTTAACTCTCTCTCCATTTCTGCTTATTCCATTTCATCTTCCTCAAATTCTGTTTTGTCTTCTCCACTTATCCAAATTCTACTCTTATTTCAGGACCAAATTCTTACTTAGTCTTTCCAATAAAGCCCGTACCACTCTGCCTTAATCTAAAATGCTTTTTCTTCCCTTTTTTGTCACCCATGCTGGAGTACAGTGGAGTGATCATGACTTCCTTGGCTCAAGCAGTCCCCCCCTCAGCTTCCCGAGTAGCTGGGACTACAGGAACGTGCCACCATGCCTGGCTACTTTTTTTTTCCTTAGGAGATGAGGTCCTGCTATGTTGCCCAGACTGGTTTCCAACTTCTGGGCACAAGTGATTCTCCTTCCTTGGCCTCCTAAAGTGCTGGGATTACAGGCATGAGCCACCGTGCCTGGCCTTTTTCTTCCTATTTCTTTCTTTCTTTTTTTTTTTCATCTCTTGTTCCAGAGAAGCAGAATCTCAGATGGTGGATATATGTGTGTATGGAGAGAGAGAGAGAGAGAGAGAGAGAGAGAGAGAGAGAGAGAGAGAGAGAGAGAGATTTATTATAAGGAATTGGCTCAGGCCATTATGGAGACTAAGTCTCAAGATGTGAAGGATGAGTTGCAAGCTGGAGACCCAGGAGAGCACATGGTGTACATCCAGTCTGAATTTGAAGGCCTGAGAACTCAGAGAGCCATTGGTGTTATAATCCGAAGGCTTGAGACCCACAAAGAACCGGTGTTTCAGTTTGAAGGCAGGAAAAGCTGATGTCCCTGTTAGTAAGCTGTCAGACAGGAGGAATTCTGTTTTAGTGTTTATTTTAGTGTTCATTTGTGTGCCTTGTCCTACTAGCTAGTAGATAAGCATCTTGAGGGCAGGGGCTACAAATCATATTTGCTTGTTTATCATTCATAAGCCCTTGAATTCTTACAAGTAGTAAGTACATCTAATATATAATACTTTATAAAACAAGTAGCATTTTAGAGCTGGAAAGGGTTTTTGACTAGTTCAGGCTCTTACTTAACTGAAACAGAAAGTCAGTTGCATGTGACTATTTTTTGGAAGAACCAGGATTAGAATTTTTTTTCGATTCCTCATAGGGCTTTTTCAAATAATAATAAATGATGTTAATATTAAATGATAACTTATTAATATTATTAATAATAAATGGTAACTTAAATCACTATCTTATTTTAGAGTTTTCCTGGAATCAGAAACAGCTTTAAAATGGGAAGAGTACCAGCCTTAGCAACATAACATAGTGAGACTCCGTCTCTAGAAATAATAAAAAAAATTAGCTGGGCATGGTGGCATGCACCTGTGGTCCCAGCTACTCAGGAGGCTAAGGCAGGAGGATTGCCTATGCCCAGGAAGTTGAGGCTGCAGTCAGCTGTGATCACGCTACTGCACTGAAGCCTGGGTGACAGAGTGAGACCGTGTATCAAAAAAAAAAGAAGAGTAAAATAATATACCTCTTTCCTTAATGGTTAGAAGAATAAAATGAAATCATGTACGTGGAATCACTTAGTGCAGTGCTGTAATATAGCTAATAGCTCAACAATTGCTTTTTGTACTAGAAAAGTTATTAATTAAAAACTTTTTTTTCTTTTTTTGTTTTTGCTTAGGAGCAATAATCAAAATAGTTTGCAGAGTCCTTTAATGTGGAAAATTAGGCAATATTCCTGGAGATTTCACGGTTTTTCCCCTTTTAATTTAAAAATGTGCCGGGCGCGGTGGCTCAAGCCTGTAATCCTAGCACTTTGGGAGGCCGAGGCGGGTAGATCACGAGGTCAAGAGATCGAGACCATCCTGGTCAACATGGTGAAACCCCGTCTCTACTAAAAATACAAAAAAATTAGCTGGGCATGGTGGCGCGTGCCTGTAATCCCAGCTACTCAGGAGGCTGAGGCAGGAGAATTGCCTGAACCCAGGAGGCGGAGGTTGCAGTGAGCCGAAATCACGCCATTGCACTCCAGCCTGGGTAACAAGAGCGAAACTCCGTCTCAAAAAAAAAAAAAAAAAAAAATGTGCATGATACAAAATTCAGTTATTCCAAAGTATTATGCCAAAAAAGAACTTATTTAATGTGCGATTATGTCATTATTTCCTCAAAGGATGTTATTTGACATGTTAAATTTGCTGATTCATATACAGGATTCCAATTAAGTATTTGAATGTAAGGCATCATAACCAAGTAGTAGTTTTATCTTTATGGCATGACTTTATTGAAGCACAAGTTGAGGCTATGGAAGGTGAAATTACAGTATTTAAACACTAGAGTAATTTGAACGTAAATACTCTTTAGAACTGTTTAGTCATGGGAAATGAAACTGATTATTTTCATTTAATTTTTTTTCCTTTCTAGAGTTCTTTGTAGGTACATCTTAAAGCTGTCAAGATGGTTCTAGCAGACCTTGGAAGAAAAATAACATCAGCATTACGCTCATTGAGCAATGCCACCATTATTAATGAAGAGGTATGTAAAATATTATATGAAATATATATAATTGTGTATTATCACTAGCATTGGGAAGATGGATTATTAATATTCCCTATTTTATATTTATTTTGATGTAGACTTAATACTGTAGATAAAAACCTAAAAGTGGATACAGTAAGTAGTGTTTTATTGAGAAATTAACTACAACTTCAAATTTGCTTTAACTTTCTGTAAGGAATTTTCCCAAAAAAAATCCAAAACAAAACTGACCTTAACTTAGATGAAAAATAACATATTTTATCTTTTGAAAGTGGCTTAATCTAGAACTGTACTTTTGTGTTTTTTTTTTTTTTTTGAGACGGAGTTTTGCTCTTGTTACCCAGGCTGGAGTGCAATGGCGTGATCTCGGCTCACCACAACCTCCGCCTTCTGGGTTCAGGCAATTCTCCTGTCTCAGCCTCCTAAGTAGCTGGGATTACAGGCATGCACCACCATGCCCAGCTAATTTTTTGTATTTTTAATAGAGACGGGATTTCACCATGTTGACCAGGATGGTCTTGATCTCCTGACCTCGTGATCCACCTGCCTCGGCCTCCCAAAGTGCTGGGATTACAGGCGTGAGCCACCGCGTCCAGCTGTACTTTTGTTTTTTTTATTGATACAGACTTAAAATTTTATTATCCTGCTGCTTTCTTTTTGGTGAGGCCTCTGCTTATCTGTCCTTTAATTTATTTATTTTTTATTTTTCCCCACTTACTGGTATTCAATTATCTGTCCTTTTCTTTGTTGACTTTTATTTAGCATTCTTATAAAAGGTTAGTATTTACATCTTGTCTGTTTTGATTCATTTTCTTTGAAATCTTCAGTTTTTTGGAGATTTTGTAAGCTGCTCCTTAGCTATATTGTTTTAAGATACTTCTTTCTCCCATTTGTCCCCCACAGGTTGTATCTTAACGGTTTATTAATTGAAAAAGATGACTGTGGTTCACCAGTATACTTTATATTTTATATTAACAATGGAAAATTACTGAATTTGGTGTTAGAAGACATTCGTTAGAGTCTCATTGCAGCAATTTAGTAACTGCGATGTAAATTTGGACATCTGAACCTTAGATTGCTTAGTGTATAAAATGGGAAAATAGCATTTATCATAGAAAATGTTTTTAAGTATCAAATGAACTTTCTAACTTGGAGGTTAGAAAACAAATTCTAACGCAGAATATGATCTCGACACTTAAATAATTTGAGACCATCTTAGAGATCATTTAGTTCAGCCTCTTGTTTAACATAAACAGAAAGTCAGTTTCATGTGATTGTTTATATGGAAGAACCAGGATTAGAATCTTTTTTTCCTAATTCCTCATCCAGGGTTTTTTCTAATAATTCTTATTAAATAATAAATCACAAATCATTGTTTGGTCTTGTAATTCAGAATAAATAAATCAACTTTCCAAACCATTTTCCCTGTTGTGTAGTAGCTCTTATGCTCTTTGTAGTAGAAAGAAAACCAGAGGAGGAGTGCTTAGTGGAAAGTAGAGTAACATCTGTTGCTTAAATTGGCAGCTTCTTTGTTCGTGATACTGTGCTGCTAACTGATTAACAAGGAGAAAGCCCTCTAGTGAAAGATCAGTTCCAGTTTTATCAGACCCCTTTAATGAGAGATAAAGAAAACTAATAAGCCTCTGTAGAGCATACGAAATAAGTTGAAGGAGAGGGTTCATTCAATAAATATTTGAGGACCTATGTTTTTACAAACAGTTTTGCTGGCACCAGCGATAGAATGGTGAACAAAATAGACTAAAATTCCTACCCTCATAGAGCTTATATTCTAGTGTGTGAGCACTTCATATACATGAGTGGCTAAAGCCTCTTAAGACTTTTTATTTTATGACCTTTTAACTACAGTGCCTTGCAATTCAACAAATGTGTGATGATAAGTTATTAATGGAGATAGTCTCCTCTCCAACAGTATTCTTCTGTTCTGAGTAAAAATGGCAAGACTGGGTAACTTCCTTCTGTCACATTTGCCTCTATAGTTGTCCAGTTAAGAAGAGCAAATATTGTGACTATATACCACCACTACATATTAGCAACAGAAGCTCTTCAATAACGTAGAAAACGTCAAAGGCAACATCTATTATGCAGCAACTTTTTTTGGCTTGAATATTGTCTTTATTATTATTATTACGTTTTTTGTTGTGTTAATTTTGTTTTGAGACAAAGTCTCACTCTTACCCAGGCTGGAGTACGGTAGCATGATCTTGGCTTACTGCAGCCTCTGCCTCCTGGGTTCAAGTGATTCTCCTGCCTCAGCCTCCTGAGTAGCTGGGATTATAGGCACATGCCACCATACCCAGCGAATTTTTGTATTTTAGTAGAGATGGGGTTTCACCATGTTGACCAGGCTGGTCTTGAACTCCTGACCTCAAGTGATCTGCCCACCTCAGCTTCCCAAAGTGCTGGGATTACAGGTGTCACCCACTGTGCGCGGCCTGTAATTAACTTTTATATAGGAATAAAATTGTGGTAATTTAATACGTGGGTGTATGAAACTAAACGGGGTTTCTTGAATTTTGACAAAATGACTAAACATTTAATAAAATTATCTCTCCAGACCTAACTGAAAAGCCCATTAGCGTAGTATTATTTTATTAAGCTATGGTTATATAAGTGATCAACCATTGTTTTTAGGGAACTGAAATGATACATTGGGTACTTTAAATTTCAATTATTTCTTTATTTTCAGGTATTGAATGCTATGCTAAAAGAAGTCTGTACTGCTTTGTTGGAAGCAGATGTTAATATTAAACTAGTGAAGCAACTAAGAGAAAATGTTAAGTAAGTTCAATTAATCAGGTAAAAAACAGGCATAGCTAAGTTTAATTTATTGGAAAGAGGCACTAACTAGAAATGTTTTCTTTATCAGGAATCATTTCTGCTCTGCAGCACTGGAAAAGTGCTGGGTTAGAGCTCATATGTTGGACAAGTGCATGTGTAGTACGTTTCCATTAATGATGGTTCAAAGAATAAACTACATGTGATTTTCATTTCATTACCAGTTTTTTTCTATTTTTCTAGTCTTTTATTTGGATGGATTCTATTAAATACTGTATAGTAGTTTAATATATAAAGCCTTCTAATGTTCAGGCTCTTCATAGAAAAGTACTGCCATTTTATTCTTTTTAGACTTGATGATATTAATCAACCTTCTTCATTATTGGAGAACTATATTCTCTTTTGTTCTTTTGGTTTCTCTGTTTCATATTTGAATGAAGAATTAATATGTGTGGTCTCAGTTATTTTATTCATTGGGAGAGGCACTGAGTTGGCAGGACACACAGAACAATACAGGTAGCTCAGTTAATGGCTTAATCTTATCCCTTATCATGCTTTAGATATCCCTCCTTGTATTGCTCGAGATTAATTGTGGGACTATGAGTATTTAAGCATTTAGAAATAAAGTAGTCCTGATTTCTGTTGTAAAAATATATAAAATATATAAGCTTCAAGAAAAGTAAATAAAACTAGTTATTTGTAGTGATATTAGGACAAATTAATATTTGTACTTTCTTTTTTTTTTTTGAGACGGAGTTTCGCTCTTGTTACCCAGGCTGGAGTGCAATGGTGCGATCTCAGCTCACCGCAACCTCCGCCTCCTGGGTTCAGGCAATTCTCCTGCCTCAGCCTCCGGAGTAGCTGGGATTACAGGCACGCGCCACCATGCCCAGCTAATTTTTTGCACCTTTAGTAGAGACGGGGTTTCACCATGTTGACCAGGATGGTCTCGATCTCTTGACCTCGTGATCCACCCGCCTCGGCCTCCCAAAGTGCTGGGATTACAGGCTTGAACCACCGCTCCCGGCCAATATTTGTACCTTCAAGTGTAATCCTCGAAAACCAAAGTCTTGCATCCAGTATTTCATGGTTAACTCTTTATGTTATAGACTTATGAATCTGTAGTGATTACATACATGTTAATTGGAAGACTGTTAATATGAATGACTGAATAGTCTTACATTCTTTGGAGCAGAAGCTTCTTTTTCTTAAAGTTTCTTAATTGATTTTCTCTTCCCTACCCCAATCACCAACCACCATTATAAAGGTCTGCTATTGATCTTGAAGAGATGGCATCTGGTCTTAACAAAAGAAAAATGATTCAGCATGCTGTATTTAAAGAACTCGTGAAGGTAAAAGTATATGAAGATTGTGCTGTGATTCTATACTCAGTGGATAAAAATATATTAGCACTACAAGTATTTCGGAATCATTTTTAGTATGTTTTTATAGAATATTCATCTGTATTAAAATATTAATGAAACGATCGTTAAGTTTTCTTAGGGACCTATTTTTATTATGGATTTTACTGAATACAGAAATCTGAGTGCAGATATGAAGGTTTGTACTGTTCCTGCAAAAAATGCCAAAGCCAAGATACCATGAGTGAAACTTGACAACAGATTGATTGATGGAAGGGCCTCTCTGAGATTTTCCCCTTTCACTGTCATGTTTTGCCTAGTCATGGCCCTGCTTTTATATGGCAAAGTCACATATAGCAAATATTCTTTTCTACACTATTCATTGTGTAGAGAATTCCCTTTGCAAAGACCAAGTACCCCAATTCTTGCCTAGATTATAAACAATTTTGAATTCGTGAAAATTTTATTTTCAAGTAGTAAATATAGCCTGTCGCCCTGCCTTACCTTATTGCTGATCATGCAAATTATTGTGAAAATCTTAAAGCTTTAAAAAATACATATTGGCTCAATTGTAGAAGAAAAGAAGTAAGGAGCTGTTAAAAAGTTACTTCAGGCACAGTGGCTCATGCCTGTAATCACAGTGCTTTGGGAGGTGGAGGTGGGAAGATTGCTTGAGGTCAGAAGTTTGAGATCAACCTTGGCAACATAGCAAGAACCAGTCTCTACAAAAAAAAAAAAAAGTTGGTGAAAAGAGCTGATGCAGGCCAGGTGTGGTGGCTCACATCTGTAATCCCAGCACTTTGGAAGGCTGAGGCAGTTGAGTCACCCAAGGTCAGGCATTGGAGATCAGCTTGGCTAACATGGTGAAACCCCTGTGATTGTGCCACTGCCCTCCAGACTAGGGGAAAGGGTGAGACCCTGTCTCAAAGAAAAACAACTAAAAGGCCGGGCGCGGTGGCTCAAGCCTGTAATCCCAGCACTTTGGGAGGCCGAGGCGGGTGGATCACGAGGTCGAGAGATCGAGACCATCCTGGTCAACGTGGTGAAACCCCGTCTCTACTAAAAATACAAAAAAATTAGCTGGGCATGGTGGCACGTGCCTGTAGTCCCAGCTACTCAGGAGGCTGAGGCAGGAGAATTGCCTGAACCCAGGAAGCGGAGGTTGCGGTGAGCCGAGATCGCGCCATTGCACTCCAGCCTGGGTAACAAGAGTGAAACTCGGTCTCAAAAAAAAAAAAAAAAAAGACAAAAAAAAATTTTTTGGAGTAATAGATGCCTACTAGTTCTATAATTATTTTTTTTCCACGTTGTATGAATATTTTCTTTTTTTTGAGTCTCCTCTTGTTGCCCAGGCTGAAGTGTAGTAGCGTGATCTCTGCTTACTGCAACCCCTGCCTCCCAGGTTCAAACAGTTTTCCTGCCTCAGCCTCCCTAGTAGTTGGGATTACAGGTGTCTGCCACCACACCTGGCTAATTTTTTTTTTTTTAATTTCTTTATTTTAGTTCAGATAAGGTTTCACATGTTGGCCAGGTTGGCCTCAAACTCCTGATCTCAAGTGATCCACACCTCGGCCTCCCAAAATGCTGGGATTACAGGCATGAGCCACCTCTCCCAGCCTGAATATTTCCATTTACTGTTTTGGTACCAACTGTGCTGACAGGCTTTTGAAAAAGTTCAGTATTTCAGATGATTATGTCATTTTTGTTTATTCCACTAGGCTAATTAATAAAAAGGAAATTCAGGCCTAAAAGAGGTCAGAATTTATCCAGTTCATACTTATCAGTTTGCATTTGAGAAAACTGAGACAGCTAGTTTGTGGCAGACCCAGGTATGATCTCCAAACTCCTTGTGTAAGACTCTTGAATTATTTTCTGATTGCCTTTCACTTAGTGTCTGAGATCAGCACAGTGTGAGTGGAATTTTTCCTTTTGTTTCTTTTAAGAGACAGTCTTACTCTGTTACACAGACTGGAATGCAGTAGTAACAGTCATGGTTTACTGCAGCCTCAGCCTCCCAGGCTAAAACAATCCTCCTGCCTCAGCCCCCCAAGTTGCTGGGACCACAGGTACATGCCACCACACCCAGCTAGTTTTTGTAATTTTTGTAGAGGCAAGGTTTCTTCATGTTGCCCCAGCTGGTCTTGATCTCCTGAGCTCAAGTTATCCATCTGCCTCAGCCTTCCAAAGTGTTAGGATTACAGGTGTGAGCCATTATGCCTGGCCAGAAATTTTTGTTGTAAGGGTCTGGTAACTACAGGCAATTCTGGAGCATCAAGTACTTTATTAAGAAGCATTTATTGAGTACCTACTTTATTCCAGAAAGTATGCCAAATGGTGCTGACAGCAGAGATAAATAAGACTGGTTCTTATACTCAGATGCTTATGGTCTAGAGCAATAGTGTACAAAGCAAGGTCAAAATTATTTTCATGGCCGGGAGCAGTGGCTCACATCTGTAATCCCAGGACTTTGGGAGGCCGAGGTGGGCAGATCACTAGGTCAGGAGTTGAAGACCAGCCTGACCAACATGGTGAAAACCCTGTCTCTACTAAAAATACAAAAATTAGTCAGGTGTGGTGCAGTATGCCTGTAATCCCAGTTACTTGGGAGGCTGAGGCAGGAGAATCACTTGGAACCCAGGAGGCAGAGGTTGTCATGAGCCAAGAGTGTGCCATTGCACTCCAGCCTGGGTGACAGAGCAAGACCGTCTCAAAAAAAAAAAAAAAAAATTATTTTCATAATAATACTGAGACACTGTTTGACTTTTTTACTATGTTGATATTTGCACTGAAAACAGTGGTAGGTAAAACTCCCTAGTATGAATCAAGGCAGTGGCACCAAATGATACTAGTAGTTACTTCATTTATTTATTATTATTATTATTTTTCAGACAGAGTCTTACTCTTGTTGCCCAGGCTGGAGTGCAATGGTGCAATCTTGGCTCACTGCAATCTCTGCCTCCCGGGTTCAAGCAATTCTCCTGCCTCACCCTCCTGAGTAACTGGGATAACAGGCGTATGCCACCCCGCCTGGTGAATTTTTGTATTTTTAGTAGAGACACAGTTTCTCCTTGTTGGTCAGGTTGGTCTCAAGCTCTCGACCTCAGATGATCTGCCTGCCTCGGCTTCCCAAAGTGCTGGGATTACAGATGTGAACCACCACGCTCGACCTTTATTTTTATTTCTAAAGACAGAGTCCCTGTCATTCAGGCTAGAGTGCAGTGGTGTGGTCAGAACTCACTGCAGCCTCAAATTCCTGGCCTCAAGCAATCTCCTCTCCTCAGCTTCCAGAGAAGCTCAGACTATAGGCATGCACCATCATGATTTGTTGTTGTTTTTTGAGACAGGGTTTTACTCTGTCACCCAGGCTGGAATGCAGTGGTGTAATCATGACTTGCTACACCCTCATCCTCCCTGGGCTCAGATGATCCCTACATCTGAGCCTCCCGAGTAGCTGGGACTACTACTCCTTGAGCCTAGGAGTTCAAGACCAGCCTGAGCAACATGATGAAACCCCATCACTACAAAAAATATAAAAGTTAGCTGGTCACAGCAGCTTAGACCTGTAAACCCAGTTACTTGGGAGGGTAAGGTGGAGAATTGCTTGAATCTGGGAGGTGGAGGTTGCAGTGAACAAAGATGGCGCCACTGCACTCCAGCCCCTGCAACAGAACAAGACCTGTCTCCAGAAAAAAAAAAAAAAAAAAAGGCCAACAGGCACAGGTGCACACACCTATAATCCCAGCACTTTGGGAGGCTGAAGTGGGTGGATCAGCTGAGGTCAGAAGTTTGAGACTGCCCTGATCAACATTGTGAAACCCCGTCTCTACTGAATACAAAAAATTAGCCGGGTATGGTGGCGCTTGCCTATAGTCCCAGCTACTTGGGAGGCTGAAGCAGGAGAATTGCTTGAACCCAGGAGGCAGAGGTTGCAGTGAGCTGAGATCGTGCCATTGCACTCCAGCCTGGGCAACAAGCACAAAACTCCATCTAAAAAAAAAAAGAACTTGAATCTATCATCTGTCTGCTCTGAGTTTGACAGTATCCCACTACTTACTTTTCTGATGAGTGTCAGTATTGATATTAATGAATAAAGTTGTTTGATTATGTGTAATGAAATATATCAGTGATGGGAGATCTGAATAACTCAGTGAACCAGCGTTTTGTGAATAACTAATGTGTGATGTTACAAGATCATGTACAAGATTCATTTAAAATCCAAGATGGAATCAGGGATTTTTTTGGGGTTTTTTTTGTTTTTTTTTGTTTTTTTTTTTTGTTTTTTTTTGTTTTGAGACGGAGTTTCGCTCTTGTTACCCAGGCTGGAGTGCAATGGCACGATCTTGGCTCACCGCAACCTCCGCCTCCTGGGTTCAGGCAATTCTCCTGCCTCAGCCTCCTGAGTAGCTGCGATTACAGACACGCACCACCATGCCCAGCTAATTTTTTGTATTTTTAGTAGAGACGGGGTTTCACCTTGTTGACCAAGATGGTCTCGATCTCTTGACCTTGTGATCCACCCGCCTCGGCCTCCCAAAGTGCTGGGATTACAGGCTTGAGCCACCGCGCCCGGCCCGGAATCAGGGATTTTAATGTAACAGAGTATAAAAGTTTATATGGTTTTAGATTTTACATTGCAACTAACCTTTACAAACTAACATGATTATAAAGAAGTCCTGAGACCAAGAAGTTGAAAACTGCTGTTATTGAGGGTGGGAAGAAGTGAAGATAAATTTATAAAATAATTATTTAGTAAAACATCTATGTTCCAAATAATGGATACACAGAGAGCTGGGAGATTCTGCCATGACATGTAGAAAATGGAGGTGAATGTGGAGCAGAATCAGTGTACTGAAAGGATCTATGAGGAAGGGAAGTGGATTTATGTTTAAGACAGATTTTGCCTCTTTCAGAAGTTTGCCTAAGGGTAGGTCGATGCCTAGGAAAGTATAAGAAAATGTATTTTCCTTTCTTCTCTACCTCATGGCTTTCCTTGAAATTCAGGTATCATATGGATTATGTAATTTTTATGGTATTGTATAGGATGGCTTGGCAGACTTTCTCTCAAAGGTTTAACTTTTGTGAACCACGTGATTTCTCTTGCAACCACTCAGCTCTGCTGTTGTGGCACAAAAGCAGTAAAGGGGCTAGGCACAATGGCTTATACCTGTAATTCCAGCACTTCAGGAGGCCAAGGCTGGAGGATTGCCTGAGGCCAAGCGTTCAAAACCAGTCTGGGCAACATAGTAATAATCTGTCTCCACAAACAAATATTAAAATTAGCCAGGCATCATGACACATGCCTGTAGTTCCAGCTACTCAGGAGGCTAAGATGATAGGATCACTTGAGCCTAAGAGTTCAAGACTGCAGTGAGCCGTGTTTGTACCACTGTACTCTTGCCTGGGTGACAAAGTGAGACCCCGTCTCAAAGAAAAAAAGAACAAAAAAAAGTAGTAAATGAACGGGCATGGCTGTATTACATTGAAACTTCTTTCAATGTAGTAACTAGAAATATAATAACTTTATAGCCCAGGCTGGAGTACAGTGGCCTGATCATAGCTCATTGCAGTCTCAAACTCCTAGGCTCAAGTAGTCTTCCTGCCTCAGCCTCTGATTGGCTGGGATCACAGGCGCATGTCACCACACCTGGCTAATTCTTTAAATATTAGTAGAGACAGGGTCTTGCTATGTTGCCCAAGCTGGTCTCAGTTGATCCTCCTCCTTTGGCCCCCACAAAGGGCCAGGATTATAGGCATGAGCCACTAAGCCCAGCCTTCATTGAAACTTTATTTGCACATAGTTTACCAGCCCCTGATCTAGGACATTAACTATTATGGATTTATTATTATATCGTACATTTCAGGCTTCTAACAACTGACTCCCAAGTGAATTATTTTTTAAATGTCCCATGCTCTTTTAATTTGGAGACTGTCACTATATGAACCTCAATTTTCCACTGGCTGTCATTTAAAGTTGGTTATTATTTTTTATTGGCCCTCTAAATATAATAACTTTACAGTCAGTATTTGGCATTGGAGAATTTACAATTTGACCTGGAAAATCTTTCACATATAATCTGTAATTTTGTTAAGTAAATATTTGTCCAATTGAGTATGGACATTAGCACTCTTGAGTATGGCATTCACTAGCCACATGTGGTTATTGAGCATTTATAATGTGGCTAGTCCAAACTGAGATGTGTTTTATATATAAAATACACACCAGATTTTCAGACTTGATATGAGAAAAGGAATGTAAAATAGCTAATTAATTTTTTATATAGATTACATATGAAAATGATAATTTTTAGATATATTGGGGTAAATATTAAAATTAGTATCACCTGTTTTTACTTTTTAAAATGTCATTACTGGAAATTTAAAAATTCATGTGTGGGCTTCACATACATTTTTGTATTACATTTCTGTAGTGCTGCTGTAGATTCCTCCTTTGGCTTAAACTTGGTTTCACATTTTATTTTATACTCCAGGTTGTTCTAAAAAAATGTTGTGAGATCTTTACCTCTGAATTGGTTTAGAGTATAGGCTTGATTATGACTTCACAACGCATTATTTTATGTTTTTAAATTTTACCCTGTATATACAAAGGAGAATAGTTGTATTAGAATAGCAGCATTATGGTAGCTTTTATATGAAAATGTCTGTAAATTATCTTCGTAATTTAAAAGTTATGGGAGGGCACAGTGGCTCACGTCTGAAATCCCAGCACTTTGAGGCTCAGACAGAAGGATTGCTTGAACCCAGCCTGGGCAACATGTCAAGACTCTGTCTCTCCAAAAAAAAAAAAAAAAAAATTCTTTTCATTAACTAAATACGGTAGCCTGTGCCTGTAGTCTCAGCTACTTGGGAGGCTGAAGTACAAGCATCATTTGAGCCCAGGAGGTCGAGGCTACAGTGAGCTCTGATTATGCCACTGTACTCCAGCCTGTGTAACAGAGTGCAATCCTGTCTCAAAAAAGGAAAAAAGTTATAGGGGAGGGGTTTTGAATTTAAATGTATGTTAACCTGATTTTATTTTTAATTTATTTTTGTTATTTAGCTTGTAGACCCTGGAGTTAAAGCATGGACACCCACTAAAGGAAAACAAAATGTGATCATGTTTGTTGGATTGCAAGGGAGTGGTAAAACAACAACATGTTCAAAGGTAAATTGAAGTTAATTTAAAAAGAAGCCATGGAGGATAGGTTTGTATAAATCAAGTTTTATATTAAAGCCAGGCTTTATAATATTATTGCTTTATAACTTTGTGTTACTTGATGTATGTTTTTAAGTAGTTTTTTTGTAGGATAAGAAGAGAGATCCTCATAGTTTCTTATTATTTCTTTTTGTAAGAAGGTAGACATCTATAACTATGCTATTTCTTCTATTTTTTTTTTTAAAAAAAGATGATTCCTGTCCTTTCAGGAAGTGAGTATATGATTTTTGGAGAAGAGAACATGAAGTTTACTTTATGCACTATGGCTCAGTATTCCTTTTTCAGGTTCCCACCCAGCATACTATAGATCTTCATTTTGCATATCCTTATGCTATTTTTTTTTACGACAGTCTTGCTTTGTTGCCCAAGCTGTAGCGTGGTGGCATGTGAATATGGCTCACTGTAGCCTTGACCTCTTTATGCTAATTATTTTTTTGCGGGGATGGAGTCTCACTCTGTCCAGAAGCTGGAGTACAGTGGCAAGATCTTGGCTCACTGCAACCTCCACCTCTTGGGTGGAGGCAATTCCCCTGCCTCAGTCTCCCAAGTAGCTGGGAATACAGGTGCCCCCACCACCAGGCCTGGCTAATTTTTTGTATTTTAGTAGAGATGGGGTTTCACCATATTGTCCAGGATGGTCTCAATCTCCTGACCTCATGATCCACCCTGACTTCCCAGAGTGCTGGGATTACAGGTGTGAACCACCGTGCCCAGCTTAATGCTAATTTTTAATTTGGTTTACTACTACTCTTTCCTGAATTGTGTGTCTCACCAATATTACGGGAACATAGATGTAACAAGCTTCATCTATGTTACAGTTTGAGGGGGGAATGAGAAAATGATGATTTTTAGATCATTTTGTTGTTTTTAATTAACATTAATAGTAGTTAACATTTTTTACTATCATCATTTGCTACTTGATAATTTTATATTTGAATGCTACTGTGTGATAATTAGAATATAAACTTTTTAGGAGATCTGCCATATTCAAAAATGTTTAATATTTTCAGGAGAATTATGAGCAGTTTTATTTTACTCCTTAGGTAAATAAGGATAAACAGAAGACATGTATAGTTTATTATATTTTATGATATTATATTTTTAAATCTTTTCTCACCCAGTTAGCATATTATTACCAGAGGAAAGGTTGGAAGACCTGTTTAATATGTGCAGACACATTCAGAGCAGGTAATGTGTTGAAATTTAAAAATTGTTTTCTGTAATTTTTATTTTTAAGTTTGAGGATTCATGAACTCTTTATCTTCTAGGGGCTTTTGACCAACTAAAACAGAATGCTACCAAAGCAAGAATTCCTTTTTATGGAAGGTAGGTTACTGCTTTTTATTTTAATACTCACTACTCACGTGCCTCTTCTTGTCTGTCTACTTTTTTTTTTTGGAAATGAAGTCCTGCTCTATTGGCCAGGCTGGAGTACAATGGTGTGATCTCAGCTCACTACAGCCTCCACCTCCTGGATTCAAGCAATTTTGCTGTCTCAGCTTCCTGAGTAACTGGGATTACAGATGCCCACCACCACACCCAGCTAGTTTTTTGTATTTTTAGTAGAGACAGGGCTTTACCATGTTGGCCAGACTGGTCTCAAACTCCTGACCTCAGGTGATCTGCCTGCCTTAGCTTCCCAAAGTGCTGGAATTACAAGCGTGAGCCACCACACCCGGCCTGTCTGACTTTTATTTCATGCTATCTGGTTAACATATATTTAAAAGCTTAAATCCTTTCTGAAATAAGTAGGGATATAATTAATAAATTATCATTTAGTACTATAATGTGACACTTCTGATTCAGCCCGGTACAACATTAGAGATACAGCTCAAGTCGTCTGTTCCTTTTATCCCTCTTGCGGGCTTTTTACGTTTTCATGAGTAAAGAAGAGACTGTTTAATAAGTGGTATTTTACAAGAATACTGGCTAAAAATCAATGATTTGGCTTTGGCCAGTAGTTCAGGTGACTATCAACTGAATTATATCATTTGCGAATTAAAAGCCCTAAAAAGATAACTGTTGATCCACTATTTTTTTTTTTTTTTTTTTGAGACGAGTCTCACTTTGTCGCCAAGCTGGAGTGCAGTGGCACCATCTCAGTTCACTGCAACCTCCGCCTTCCAAGTTGAAGTGATTTTTCTGCCTCTGCCTCAGCCTCCCGATTAGCTGGGATGGGACTACAGGTGTGCACCACCATGCCCAGCTAATTTTTGTATTTGTAGTAGAAATGGGATTTTACCATGTTGGCCAGGATGGTCTTGATCTCTTGACCTTGTGATGTGCCCACCTCAGCCTTCCAAAGTGCTGGGATTACAGGCATGAGCCCTGACACCCAGCCTAGCCACTCATTTTTAAATCTATATTAGATGCGTTGTAGCTTGTTTAGAATATGTCCAGGTTTTCTGTTTTTTTTTTTAAATACCAGAAAGTCCCGTATGCAAAAAAATAAAAGAAAAAAAAAAGAAAAAAAGAAAAAATATATAGGTATTAGAAACAGTTCTTATCTTTAAAAAAATCCTAACATTTTTTAATCTGTTAGAAATATCTTTTAAAAAATGACCGAGGCCGGGTGCAGTGGCTCACGCTTGTAATCCTAGCACTTTGGGAGGCCGAGGTGGGTGGATCACCTGAGGTCAGGAGTTCAAGACCAGCCTGGCCATCATGGTGAAACCCCGTCTTAAAAAAAAAGAAAAAAAAAAAAAGTAAAAAAATGACTGAAAGAAAACAAAATTAAATTAAAAAAATATCATAGCCATTCACTAGCTTTTTTGGCTAGCCATAAAGTAAAAGTCTTTTTAAATAAGCAGTCCCTTTAATCTGTTAGAAATATCATTAAAAGAAATGACTGAAAGAAAACAAAATTACATAAACATATCATAGCCATTCACTAGCTTTTTTGGCTAGCCATAAAGTAAAAGTCCTTTTAAATAAGAAGTCTCTTTAATCTGTTAGAAATAGCATTTTAAAAATGACTGAAAGAAAACAAAATTAAATAATAAAAAAGCCATTCACTAGCTTTTTTGGCTGGCCATAAAGTAAAAGTCCTTTTAAATAAGAAGTCCCTCAAATAAATCCTTTTAAATACAGTCTAGACTCTATTCTTTTTTGAGACAGAGTCTCACTCTGTCACCCAGGCTGGAGTGCAATGGCGAGATCTCGCCTCGCTGTCACCTCCGCCTCCCGGGCTCAAGCAGTTCTCCTGCCTCAACCTCCCAAGTAGCTAGGATCACAGGTGTCTGCCACCAAGCCTGACTAATTTTTGTATTTTTAGTAGAGATGGAATTTTACCATAATGTTGGCCAGGCTGGCCTCAAACTCTTGACCTCAGGTGATCTGCCTGCCTTGGCCTCCCAAAGTGCTAGGATTACAGGCGTGAGCCACCGTACCTGGCCATGCCCCACTACTTTTTTCATATAATTTTATTTTAATCCTGTGTTGCCTAGGCTAGTCCTGAGCTCCTAGGCTCAAATGATCCTCCCACCTCAGCCTCTCAAAGGGCTGGATTTACAGGCTTGAGCCACTGTCCCCAACCACACACATATTAAGTGTATTTCTACCTGAGTTTTCAGTGATTGTTCTTAATTTAGGGGAAAAACTTTTTTTTTTAAATGTTATATGTCTTTACTTGACAGTAGTGATCTACATATAAAAAGTTGCCATTAATCAGAATAATGCAAATTAAAATACCTCGTTTCTTGATTTTCAAGTTGACAGAGATTTTATTAGAGATTGTGAAAATGTAGTGAAATAGAAATCAGTTTAAACTTTTATGGATGAGATTTGCCTCATAAAAGTGAAAAGCCTTAAATGGTCATACAATTTGTTCCAAATTGAACTTATAAGAGTGTATGATAACATCATATCAAAGAAGAAACATTTATGTATCATTTATATTGGCTTTATTTTTAATATCAAGAAACTGGGAAAACTGCCATGCACAGTGGCTCACTTCTGTAATCCAAGAACTTTGGGAGGCTGAGGTGGGAGGATCGCTTGAGCCCAGAAATTGGACACTAGCCTGAGCAACATAGCAAGACCTCATCTCTACAAAAAAATTAATTAAAAAATTTTTAAAAGGAAATTGGAAAAATATCAAATATCTAATGGTAGGGCATTATTTAATAAACAATTGATACAATGCTGTATAACTTGAAAGTTATTTTTTAACAGTAATATTTTTTCTTTTTTCCCCCTGTGTTTTTTTTTTTTTTTTTTTGAGACGGAGTTTCACTCTTATTACCCAGGCTGGAGTGCAATGGCGCGATCTTGGCTCACCACAACCTCAGCCTCCCGGGTTCAGGCAATTCTCCTGCCTCAGCCTCCTGAGTAGCTGGGATCACAGGCACGCGCCACCATGCCCAGCTAATGTTTTGTATTTTTAGTAGAGACGGGGTTTCACCATGTTGACCAGGATGGTCTCGATCTCTTGACCTCGTGATCCACCCGCCTCGGCCTCCCAAAGTGCTGGGATTACAGACTTGAGCCACTGCGCCCGGCCTCCCCCTGTGTTATTTTTAAAGAGACATGGTCTTGCTCTGTTGCCCAAGTTGGAGTGCAGTTGCATGATCATAAGCTTACTGCAGCCTCGAACTCATGGACTCAAGTGGTCTTCCTGCCTCAGCCTCCCCAGTAGCTGGGACTATATGTGCATTCCAGTATACCAGCTAGTTTTTGAAATTTTTGTAGTGATGGAATCTCACTATATTGCCCAGGCTTATTACAGGAATATTTACTGGTTTTATAAAATGTCCAAATGGATGTTAAATGGAAAAACACATGTGAAACACTGTGAACATGAGTTCAGTTATTAAAGAAGATATAAAAAATAAATTTGAAGGAGAGACAATTCCTTCAGAAAAGACACGCAGTAGAATTATACTGGGTTTTGGAATTGGAAAATCAGATAATGTTTCATGCTTTTTTAGAAGTAGATTCTGAATTTAATACTTAATAGATTTTCTTCTTCTAAATTGAAATTGGGGTCATTGTGGCTTTTTCAAAATAGCTTAAAGGTAGACTAACAATTTCTGAATTAATAGTATTTGGAAGTTTTGCCATTGTTGTTAAATCATTTATCCATGTTACATAGCTATACAGAAATGGATCCTGTTATCATTGCTTCTGAAGGAGTAGAGAAATTTAAAAATGAAAATTTTGAAATTATTATTGTTGATACAAGTGGCCGCCACAAACAAGAAGACTCTTTGTTTGAAGAAATGCTTCAAGTTGCTAATGCTATAGTAAGTAGCTTTCAATGTAACGCCATTATTAGGACTTCGGTTAATTTATTTACAAAACCAGATTGAGTTTATGACCAATATGAATTGCTCTTTGCCTGTGAGGCAGATCCCAAGTAATTTATTTTTGTTTTGGGCACCTATATCTGTGTGGTAAGGACTTAATTTCATCATTTTTGCTCTCGATTAAATATAAAATTTTCTTTTCTTTTTTTTTTGACGCAGAGTTTCGCTCGTTACCCAGGCTGGAGTGTAATGGCGTGATCTCGGCTCACCGCAACCTCCGCCTCCTGGGTTCAGGCAATTCTCCTGCCTCAGCCTCCTGAGTAGCTGGGATCACAGGCACGCAACACCATGCCCAGCTAATGTTTTGTATTTTTAGTAGAGACGGGGTTTCACCTTGTTGACCAGGATGGTCTCGATCTCTTGACCTCGTGATCCACCCACCTCGGCTTCCCAAAGTGCTGGGATTACAGGCTTGAGCCACCGCGCCCAGCCATAAAATTTTCTTAAGTATGAAAACATAATTTCCTTTCTCACTTAATTATCCTGTTAGTAGGCATAAGAAAACGTTTAAAAATAGTAATTAGCCTTTAATGTCTATTGAATTTCCTTTTTTAAATTCAGTTGGAAATAGATGAATGTTGAAAATTTTCTGAAATGAAGCATTAAAAAATACTAATGGGGCTGGATGCGGTGGCTCATGCCTGTAATCCCAGCACTTTGGGAGGCCGAGGTGGGTGGATCACGAAGTCATGAGTTCGAGACCAGCCTGACTAACATGGTGAAACCTGTCTCTACTAAAAACACCAAAATTAGCTGGGCATGGTGGCACGCGCCTATAATCCCAGCTACTTGGAGGGCTGAGGCAGGAGAATCTCTTGAATCCAGGAAGCGGTGGTTGCAGTGAGCCGAGATCATGCTACTGCACTCCAGCCCGGGTGACAAAGTGAAATCCCATCTCAAAAAAAAAAAAAAAAAAAAAAAAACAAAACTGGGCTCAGTGGCTCACGCTTATAATCCCAGCACTTTGGGAGGCCAAGGCGGGTGGATCACAAGGTCAGGAGTTCAAGACCAGCCTAACCAACATGGTGAAACCCTGTCTCTACTAAAAACACAAAAATTAGCTGGGCACGGTGGCACGCGCCTATAATCCTAGCTACTCAGAGGGCTGAGGCAGGAGAATCTCTTGAACCCAGGAGGTGGAGGTTGCAGTGAGCCAAGATCATGCCACTGCACGCCAGCCTGGGCAACAGAGTGAGACTCTGTCTCCAAAAAAAAAAAAAAAAAAAAAAGAAATCATCATGATTTTGTATCTCTTTAAAAGTGTGATGAAAATAATTTAGGGGAGAAGAAACAGTTTATAGATACTTGCAGCATATGTTATTAGGAACCCATGTCTTGCCATTGGGGTGTTAGCAGTAATTCTTTGGTTTGTGGTTAATGCTAGTAAGTTTCTTTTTAGTTATGTTGTTATTTTGACCAAGTTGTGCAGATCTAAGGGAAATAGCCTCAGTGTATTTTATCTATTTTGTTTTCAGTATATACTCTCCTACTTCATATTTTTTCTGATTTGCCTTTGTACTTTTTTTTTTTTTTTTTTTTTTTTTGCGTAGAATGCCATTCTTTAAAATCTTTGTATAACTTTTTCGTCTTTATTCAGCCCTTAGCTCAAACATTAGGTCCAGGGAGGCCTTCCCTGACTTCCCTAGAAGATACCTCCTATACTTCAAAACTGATACTCTTTATCCCATTTTCGTTGTTGTACATCTGTTTGTACATCTGTTTATTATCTATGTCTGTATATCTATTTATTTATTTATTATCTATGTCCTCTGACTAGAATGCAGGTTTCTTAGAACAGTGATTTTCACATTTACCTTTTGTCCTCAGGACCTAGATAGTACCTAATAATACGTAGTACTTCCTCAACAAATATTTATGGATTGAATACTTATTTATACTAATATTGTGGGGTTTTTTTTCCTGGAGATGGAGTTTCACTTTTGTCACCCAGGCCTGAGTGCAGTGGCATGACCTCAGCTCACTGTAACCTCTACCTCCTGGGTTCAAGTGATTCTCCTGCCTGAGCCTCTCAAGTAGCTGGGGTTATAGGCTGGCTACAGGGTTTCACCATGTTGACCAGCCTGGTCTCACTAACCTCAGGTGATCCACCTGCCTTGGCCTCCCAAAGTGCTGGGATTACAGGCATGAGCCACAATGCCCAGCTCTAAATATTGTTTTATAGCTTCTAATGATGACATTTGCTTAGGATCAATACAAATCTTTTCTAAAGTATCTTTTCTATTTAAACGTTCTAGCAACCTGACAACATTGTTTATGTGATGGATGCCTCCATTGGGCAGGCTTGTGAAGCCCAGGCTAAGGCTTTTAAAGATAAAGTAGACGTAGCCTCAGTAATAGTGACAAAACTTGATGGCCATGCAAAAGGAGGTGGTGCGCTCAGTGCGTAAGTATCATTGATACTGTTGTCCTCTGTCTTGGGATTATATGGGGAAGGATATGTGTTTATAGCTTTCATATTGATCATTTAAAATATGTTTCATTAGTGAACCGAGTATCGTTTATAAAGGAAGTTTAAATAGAAACAATTTTGGAGCCTGTCTGATAGAGTTCTTTTATAACTAGTGAAATGAAAGTTGAGTTTTGTACCTTTGTCTAATTAGCTTTGGAGGCAGATTCACTTCGAATTTCACATCTGCTGGAAATTTGCGGGGTTCTTTTGAAGTTATTTTATATTTTCTTTTTCTTTGTTTTTTTTTTTTTTTTCAGAGTTGCTGCCACAAAAAGTCCTATTATTTTCATTGGTACAGGGGAACATATAGATGACTTCGAACCTTTCAAAACACAGCCTTTTATTAGCAAACTTCTTGGTACGTACAGTGGTGGAAAATAGAAAAATCTCTGAGAAATAATATGTATCTTTAGGACAAAATAGGATTTTAATTCTGCCTCACTAATTTAAGAACATCATTTCCTTCTATAACTTTTTTTCCTTACTTGTAAAATAGAGATAATGGTTATTGGCTTTCTGTGGTGAAAGTGTTAAAATGAGGTATCTAGTAGAAAGTTCTTTTTTTTTTTTTTGGAGGCCCCAGTGGGATTTGGAAAAGCTTTAGAGCACAATACAAAAATAAGTGGTTTCAGTAATAGCGGATGTAAGGGCAGTAATACTTTGGCAATGTCTCAAGGTGTTTATAGAGAACATGGAATTTGGAGTTAAACCCTGGGCTGGAGTCCCTGCTTTTCTACTTTGTTGCCACTTGACTTTCTTTCTTTCTTTCTTTTTTTTTTTTTTGAGATGGAATTTTGCTTTTGTCACTCAGGCTGGAGTGTAGTGCCGTGATCTTGTTTCACCGAACCCTCCACCTCCCGGGTTCGAGCAATTTTCCTGCTTCAGCCTCCTTAGTAGCTGGGATTACAGGCATGTGCCACCAGGCCCAGCTAATTTTTGCATTTTTAGTAAAGACAGCATTTCACCATGTTGTCCAGGCTGGTCTCAAACTCCTGACCTTAGGTGACCTGCCTCAGCCTCCCAGAGTGCGGGAATTACAGGCAGATTCACTGCGCCTGGTCATGCCACTTATCTTTCTTAGCTTCAGTTTTCTCATTTGCATAGTGTAGTAAGAATACCTAACCCATCATAATAACCTCACAAGATTATTGTGTATGTGAATGTGTTTTGTATAATGTAAAGCAAGTTATAGTATTAGTTGTTAATTTTTCTTTTTTTATCTTATAGGTATGGGTGACATTGAAGGACTGATAGATAAAGTCAACGAGTTGAAGCTGGATGACAATGAAGCACTTATAGAGAAGTTGAAACATGGTATATGAGTGACAAAAGAGAACTTGATCTCAGATGTCTTCTATTAATTTTATAAAGTTACTATTAAGTTTGAAATGTAATTTTATTAGAGTATTATCTTCTGCTTATTATTTTAGATTATTTATATGCAAATTATTTTAAATCTCAGTCATCTGAGCAGTTACAGAATTTAGTGTTTTTTATTAAAAGTAAGATTAAAATCAAGGCTTTCACTAGGTTTCTTGAAGTGTTTTTGTTTGTTTGTTGTAGACAGAGTCTCACTCTGTTACCAGGCTGGAGTGCAGTGGCGCAGTCTTGGCTTACTGCAGCCACTGTCTCCTGTGTTCAAGTGATTTTCCTGCCTCAGCTTTCTGAGTAGCTGGGATTACAGGCACGCACCACCAGGCCTGGCTAATTTTTGTATTCCTAGTAGAGATGGGGTTTCCCCATGTTGACCAGGCTGATCTCAAACTACTAACCTCAGGTGATCCGCCCACCTCAGCTTCCCAAAGTGCTGGGATTACAGGCGTGAGCCACTGCGCTCTGCTGGTTCCTTGAAGTTAAACACATTAAAAGTAAGTTAGAACACACCCTCTTAATCTGTTTTCTTATAAATTTCTTTATATATATGCATTAAAAAGAAATGTAGGGCCAGGCGCGGTGGCTCACGCCTGTAATCCCAGCATTTTGGGAGGCTGAGGTGGATGGATCACGAGGTCAGGAGATCAAGACCATCTTGGTCAACATGGTGAAACCCCGTCTCTACTAAAAATACAAAAAATTAGTTGGGCATGGTGGCGCGTGCCTGTAATCCCAGCTACTCAGGAGGCTGAGGCAGGAGAATTGCCTGAAACCAGGAGGCGGAGGTTGAGGTGAGCCGAGATTGCGTCATTGCACTCCAGCCTGGGTAACAAGAGCGAAACTCAGTCTCAAAAAAAAAAAAAGAAAAAAAGAAAGAAAAGAAATGTAAAAGGGTGAAATTAAATATACCACATTTTCTTTACTCCACATGAAAGACCTCTCCTGTAGAGAAGGATATTATTCTGATTAGGAGCTCAGGTTCTTAAATATAACATACCTGTACTTGTATCTCTAATGTATTTTTTGGCTGTATTAACATTTTGAAATTACTTACCTTCAGTTTTGTCATCTATAAAAAGTACATAATACTACTTCATGTGGTTGTGAAGATTGCATTACCTGATACATATACAATCTCTGGCACATCATAAACGTTTAATGTATTTTATTCTCGTCCATTCCAGTTTTTCTAAAAATCTTTTACTTTAATTACCATAGCAACTATTCTGCCTCTTTGCTTCTTCTCACTCATCTCATCAAATAATTTGCCTTTACTTTTCTCTTAAATGCTAATGTTTCTCAGGGATCATTCTAAGTCATCTTTCTCTGGAGCTTCAGACTCATATATCTGTTTACTAGACCATTCTTGGATGTTGCATAGACACCTCAAATTCAGCATATCCTTATCCTATCCCAACCTCTCACCTCGTTGTCTCATCAATGAATGTTAACATGATTTATATTGTTACCAGTGAGAAACTTCGGTGTCATCATTATTTCTTCCTCACCCTGCCCGCTCCTTTCTCCATCAGTTAACTAGTCCTAGCATTTCTACTCCCTAAATATCTCCATTCCATCCTCTCCTCTGTAGCCACCCTACAGCTATGGTAGTTAATCTCTTTCCTAGATTGCTTATTGTGAGTCTTTTAACAGATCTTCCAGCTTCCAATACTCCTCCCCTTTGATGTATTTTTTCATAGTACAGCCAAAATGATTTTTCACAAATGCACATCTGATCCCATTACTGCTCTTTTTAAAGTTCTTTAGTGGCTTTCTATTGCCCTTATAAAATTTTTAACTGATTTTACCATTTAGCTCACATCTTCCATGTTGTGTTTTAGCACTGTTGTTCTATGTGTCAGCTATGCTGGACTTCTTTCAATTTCTCAAATGTATATTTCTGTCTCTCACATCTGGGCTGTTGACTTTGCTAGTCCCTCTATCTCCCTTCTCACCTCTACCCTCCTCTTCTCTAGCCAATATGGCACCCTACTTACACTAAATATCCTTTTTCAGGGACATTTTACTTGAACCCTAGACTGAGTTGGAACTTTCTGATAGATGTTTCTATCCCTTTCTACAATTAATTTTTGTATTATTCATCGCAATTATTTGATATCTGTTTTCTCTGCTAAAAGGTAAAAGTAGACGTCATAGCTGTGTTACTCATCTTTTATGTTCACAGTTCCTAACACAGTATCTGGCACATAGTAGGTCTTCAGTTACTATTGAATGAATGAATTTATCCTTCTTGCCTGTTTTCTTTGCTCCTTTTTCTTTTTAGATGGAATCTTCCTCTGTTGCCCAAGCTGGAGAGCATTGGCACAATCTCAGCTCACTGAAACCTCTGCCTCCCAGGTTCAAGCAGTTCTCCTGCCTCAGCCTCCCCAGTAGCTGGGACTAGAGGTGTGCACCACTACTCCTGGATAATTTTTGTATTTTAGTAGAGATGGGGTTTCCCCATGTTGGCCAGGCTGGTCTTCAACTCCTGTCCTCAGGTGATCTGCTCACCTTGGCCTCCCAAAGTGCTGGGATTACAGGCATGAGCCACCATGCCTACCTGCACCTTCATTTTACTATCTTGAATAACCCTGGTCAGGTGATTCTCCTGCCTCAGCCTCCCGAGTAGCTGGGTTTACAGGTGTGTGCCACCACACCCAGCTAATTTTTTTTTTTTTAGTGGGGACGGGGTTTTGCCATATTTGCCAGGCTAGTCTTGAACTTCTGACCTCGTGATCTACCAGCCTCTGCCTCCCAAAGTGCTGGGATTACAGGCGTGAGCCACTATACCCAGCAAGGATACCTTTATTTTTGCAAATGCACGGTAACCCACACCCAATCAGAAAACAGAATGTATCCATTACTGTAAAAGGTTTGTTTATGCCCTTTTCCAGTAATGCTTCATATTATAGAATTCCTGGGCTGTGCATGGTGGCTCACACTGTAATCCCAGTGCTTTAGGAGGCCAAAGTGAGAGGATCATTTCAGGCCAGGAATTTGAGACCAGGCTGGGTAACATAGGGAGACCTGTATCTTTTAAGAAAAATCCAGTGGCATGCATTTGTAATCTTGGCTACTCTGGAGACTGAGGCAGGAGGATCACTTGAGCTCAGGATCAGACCTCAGGTTTGAGGCTACCAGTGAATTATGACTGTGCCATTGCAATCCAGTCTGGGTGATAGAGCACAACCCTCTTAAAAAAAAAAAAAGAGAGAGGGAAATTCTGAGTATATCCTTTTTTTCTAATCTGTTTTCTTTGACTAAGCATATTTTGATATTCATTCATGCAGTTGTACTTATCTATAGTTTGTTCTTTTTATTGCTGAAAAGTATTTTTCCCACAGTGTATCATATTTTTCCCATTTTCCTGTTCATAGATAACTAAGCTATTTAAGAAGCTCCAAACAATCTTCTAAAGTGTTTTGCTATTTTATATTCTCACCAGCAATATATGGGAGTTCTTTGTGGTATATATCCTCTTGAACTTTTGATACTGTCAACCTGTTATAAATTTTGCTTATCCTAGTAGGTCTAGTTTTTATGTGCCTTGTTTTCAGGTTTCTTGTGTGTTTGCATTTGTGTCTTCTCAGATAGAATGTAAAGATAGAATGTAAGCTTCTCTAGGATAGGACCTATGTGTCTGTATATTCTCCCCAGCATTCATCCTGTCATCTTGCACATGGTAACTGCTTAGTGAATATTTATTGATTGTGTATTTTATAAGTACGCTTCAAGGTGAATTCATGATTAAGGAAGAAATTAATTCTATTGAATGGAAATGTACATTCTCTAATATATCCAAATTATTTGTATTTCAGGTCAGTTTACGTTGCGAGACATGTATGAGCAATTTCAAAATATCATGAAAATGGGCCCCTTCAGTCAGATCTTGGTTAGTTATCCTTAGTATTTATATCTTCTTTTGTTTTCATTAAAATTTCTAAGAATAAATACAGTTGCTTTAATTATTTTTTACACTTGAGTAAAAATAGATATCTTAAGACTTAATGTCAAAAACCTAATTGTTAAATGTGGACATTTTGAACAGTTAATCTTAAGCTGTCATTGACTTTATCTAAATCTGTTTTAGGGGATGATCCCTGGTTTTGGAACAGATTTTATGAGCAAAGGAAATGAACAGGAGTCAATGGCAAGGCTAAAGAAATTAATGACAATAATGGATAGTATGAATGATCAAGGTAAGATGGCAGATTATTTATCTCTGGTGACAGTGTTCTGAATATCAGTAAGTTAGTTGCACTGTGTTCTCGTGGACAAGATGGGCAGAAATTTAGATTGAAAGAGTATTTTTACATAGATTTATAATAGCTTGAAGGCTCTTAATCAAAGGGTTATGATTATTGGATTGCCTTCATCACTGAAAGAAATGTCTAGTACAGTACTTCTCCAAATGAGTTACAAGGAAAGAACACTAGTTCTTCATGATGTTGACAGAGATAAATTAAAAGGAGAACTCCGTAATCAAATTTGGTTGAATGCTGGTTTTTAAGAGTTAAATTTGGCCAAGTAAGGTGGCTCACACCTGTAATCCTAGCACTTTGGCAGGCCAAGGTGGAAGGATTACTTGAGGCCAGGAGTTTAAGACAACATAGCAAGACTCTGTCTCTATGAAAAAAAAAAAAATTATTGAAAGTCTATTCATAGCTTTAATATTGCTAACATACATTGCGAAACTGTAAGAGATGGATAGCTTAAGCAATGCTTACAAAATTGTTTCGGTCTGAAACATAAGGTTTTAGTTTTCTCAGTATACTGCTCTGTCTCCCTGACCCTGTAAAGGCATACCTCAGAGATATTGTGAGTATGGTTCTCGACCACTGCAATAAAGGAAATATCATGCAATAAAATGAGTCATAACTAATTTTTTTGGGTTTCCAGTGTATATAAAAGTTATGTTTACACATATGTATACTGTGTCTATTAAGTGTGCAGGAGCATTATGTCTAAAAAATGATGTACAAATACAACAATTAGCCAGGTGTGGTGGCGTGCATCCATAGTCCCAGCTACTTGGGAGGGGAGGCAGGAGAATCACTTGAACCCGAGAGGCAGAGGTTGCAGTCAGCTGAGATTGCACCATTGCACTACAGCCTGAGTGACAGAGCAAGACTCCCTCTCAAAAGAAAAAAAGTTTATTGCTAAAAATGCTGATGATCATCTAAAGCCTTCAGTGCATCATAATATTTTTGCTGGTAGAGGTTCTTAGCTTAATGTTGATGACTGCTAACTGATTATGGTGATGGTTGCCGAAGGTCAAAGTGGCTCTGGCAATTTCTTAAAAGACAAGAATGAAATTTGCCCCATGGATTTACTCTTCTTTTCACAAAAGATGTCTCTGTAGTATTCAATGCTGTTCAGTAGCATTTTACCCACAGTAGAACTTCTTTCAGAATTGGAGTCAGTTCTCTCAAACCCTGCTGCTCTTTTTCAACTAAGTTTATGTAATATTCTAACAATTTGAACAATTATTCATATCTATGATTTATTATTTTTTTGTAGTCTCTTTTTCCTGAGCCCCAGGTTTTCGTAGTAACCCAGATAAGACTGTCTTTTTCTTTTATCTTTTTCATCACCATCTCTAACACTGCAAAAATGTTTGCATGTAGAATTCATAATTGCAGCATATCTCAAGTATCCATTCTGTGCCATGCACTGTCCTGAACACTTTACATATTCATTTTATCATCGTGACAACTCCTATGGCATATTCAGTTATTATCTGCCTTTTTCAAATTAGGAGACTGTGGTACAGGGAAGTTGAGTAATTTGCCCAAGGTTACTAGAGAATGGAGAGGCTGGACTTTAAACCTAAGTGTTGTGGTACAAGTCCACCGTCTTGATAACTGCCTCTCTACGTGCTCCTAAAGGCTAGATAGGCTTTTCTTCTTACATGTTTGAAAGTTTTCCAAGACATTTGGGATTCAAAAGTAGCACTTCTTTTGAAGTAAGTGATACTTCATCTATCTACCGCATCACCTAAGCTAGAAACGGGTGAACCTAGATATATCCTTGCTGATTTTCTCTCTAGAGGTTCTATTGATTACTGATATTGAAGTATGAGAGTGACTTTTCTCCTATCACTTGTGTCAGTTTTGCTTTATGTGTTTTCAAATTCTTTTGTTGGGTGCATTCAGATTTAGGATTTTGTCTTCTTGGTGATTGACCCTTTTTATCATTATGTCACATCCCTCTGTTCCTGGTCTTTTTTTTTTTTTTGAGATGGAGTTTCGCTCTTGTTGCCCAGGCTGGAATGCAATGGCACAGTGTTGGCTTACTTCAGCCTCTGCTTTCTGGGTTCAAGCGATTCTCCTGCCTTAGCCTCCCCAGTAGCTGGGATTACAGGCATGCACCACCATGCCTGGCTAATTTTGTATTTTTAGTAGAGCTGGGGTTTCTCCATGTTGGTCAGGCTGGTCTTGAACTCTCGACCTCAGGTGATCTGCCCAGCTTGGCCTCCCAAAGCGCTGGGATTACAGGTGTGAGTCAGCACACCTTGCCTTCCTTTCACTGTTTTTTGTTTGTTTGTTTTTGAGATGGAGCCTCACACTATCACCCGGACTGGAGTGCAATGGTGCAACCTCAGCTCACTGCAACCCCCACCTCCCGGGTTCACGTGATTCTCCAGCCTCAGCCTCTTGAGAACCTGGGATTACAGGTGCACACTACCATGCCTGACTACTTTTTTATAATTTTTAGTAGAGACAGGGTTTTATTATGTTGATCAGATTGGTCTCAAACTCCTGACCTCATGATCCGCCTACCTCAGCCTCCCAAAGTGCTAGGATTACAGGTGTGAGCCACAGTGCCTGACCTATTCCTTTTACTTTTAACCTACTGTCTAAGTCTGTTTGTGCTGCTGTAACAAAATACCTGAGGCTGAGAAGAGCCCAAGATTTGGTGTGCTGCTGGTCTTGTCTCTGCCTCCAAGATGGTACCTTCTTGCTGTGTCTCCAGAGTGGCAAACGGCTGTGTCCTCACATGGTGGAAGGACAGAAGGACAAAAAAAGGGCCTTGTTTTCTCCAGCCCTTTTACTGTCCAGGCTGGAGGGCAGTGTTGCAATCTTGGCTCACTGCAACCTCTGCCTCCTGGACTCAAGCAATCCTCCTGCCTCAGCCTCTGACTGTAAGCATGCACCACCATGCCCAGCTAATTTTTGTATTTTTTGTAGAGTTGGGCTTTACCATGTCACCCAGACTGGTCTTGAACTCCTGGACTCAAGTGATCTGCCCACCTTGGCCTGAGATTGAGCTGGGATACAGGCATTAACCACCATGCCTGGCTACCAATTCTTGAGGGTAACGCCCTTATAACCTAATTACTTCCCAGAAGCTACGCCTTTTAATACTCTTGCTTTAGGCATTAAGTTTCAACATTAATTTTCAGGAGACATAAAACATTCAGATCATAGCACCTACCTATTCATATTTGAAGTGAGTTTCATGTTGACAGCATATAATTGGGTTACTTTAAAAAATATATTCTGATAATCTTTGTCTTTTAATGGGTGTATTATTGCTATGTTAGGATTTAGTTCTGTCATTTTATTATTCATTTGTTTATGCCCTCTGATTTTTATTCTTCTGTTTCTCCTTTTCTGCTTTCCTGTGGGTTATCCAAATATTAATTAGTATTTAATTTTAATTTACCTACAATATTTTTGAAAATATCTCTTTGAATACTTTTCTTAGTGTTTGCTCTAGGCATCATACTATATGCACATGCTTAATTCTTTTTTCTTTTTTCTTTCTTTATATGAGCTGTGGTTTTGTTGTCCACATGCTTAATTAGTGTTTTTTGAGTTGGAGTTTCGCTCTGCTGCCCAGGCTGCAGTCCAGTGGTGCAATCTCAGCTCACTGCACCCTCTGCCTCCCAGGTTCAAGCAATTCTGCCTCAGCCTCCCAAGCAGCTGGAATTACAGGCATGTGTCACCACGTCCAGCTAATTTTGTATTTTTACTAGAGATGGGGTTTCACCATGTTGACCAGACTGATCTCGAACTCCTGACCTCAGGTGATCCACTTGCTTCGGCTTCCCAGAGTCCTGGGATTACAGGTGTGAGCCACCATGCCCGGCTTGCAAATGCTTAATTTATCACAGTCTACATGTATCCGTATTTTGCTACTTCAAGTGGAATGTAGAAACCTTAACATCACCTTAGATTTGCTGAGTCATACTTCCTATATTTCTCTCATCTTCCCTCTTATATTTGTCTCTGTATTACCGAGTTAGTTTATACTCTTGTCATTTCTTACCTGGATTACTCCAGTAGCCTCCTCCTATTTCCCCTTTTATTGCATTCCTGTTTTAATCTTTCTTCCTCGGTGCCACCAGAATAGTCTTTTCAGTAATAACAATCCTGGGATCTAAATTCTTTAGTGGCTCTTTACTGTTTTTATTAATTCCAAACTCCTGAGCCTGAATACAAGTTCTATTATAATTTTAACATTACCTGCCTTTTCAGCGTTTTAAATCTCTCAGCTCTCATCTATGCTCAGCCCTTTTACAGAAAACTAGTTGTTTATTTTAGGAATCCATATTTTGCTTCTGAAAGTATTCCTTGCTCCTTTCTCTTCTTTGCTTTACTCACATTTGTCCTTTTAGGACTACAGCATATCTAAAGTATCTGTTCTGTGCTAGGCACTGTCCTGAGCACTTTACATATATGAATTCATTTTATCATCATAACAACTCCTATGGCATATTCATTTATTATCTGCCTTTGTCAAATTAGGAAACTACGGTACAGGGAAGTTGAGTAATTTGCCCATCATAGAATCTTTCCTGACTTCCTTCCTTCCTTTGAGTGAAGGCCCCTTCCACTATTTGCTTAACTCTGTCATATTGCTTGCCATATGTGCTGCTATTAGTTTATCTTTCATTTGATTTGAGCTGTTGGAAGGAATAGTATATATATTTCATAATGAAGATGAGGCTTAAAAGCATATTTATGAAATAGATTTGGAGATTTTGACCTTAAGTTTATTTTTGAGATATTACGTCTTTGTTAGTATTGCATTAATAATTAGATTTTACCTGGATTTCAGTTCACTTCTGGATAATATATTTAGAGGGTATAGACAATTAGAAGATACAGGAAATCAGGATGATAAATGGGGTTCTAATTCATGTTATGAGAGAAGAGTCAAGAGTTGGATATTTGTCACCCAGCAAAAATTCACAGGAGACATGGTGGCTCTTACGAGTTTGAAAGTTGGCCAGGTGTGGTGGCTCTCACCTGTAATCCCAGCACTTTGGAAGGCCAAGGTGGGTGGATCACTTGAGGTCAGGAGTTTGAGACCAGCCTGGGCAACATGGTGAAACCTGTCTTTAAAAAAAAACACAAAAATACTAGCTGGCTGTGGTGTCGTGTGCCTGTAGTACCAGCTACTCGGGAGCCTGAGGTCGGAGACTCGCTTGAACCCTGGAGGTGGAGGTTGCAGTGAGCCAAGCTTGTACCACTGCACTCCAGCCTGAGTGACAGAGCAAGACTGTGTCTTAAAAAAAAAAAAAAACATTTTGAAAGCCTTATTTTTTATGCCTGGCAAGGAGACATATACATGAATAGGAATGGACGTGCCATGTAAATAGACTTCAATTTAATATGTGAAAAGAAAAGATTTTTCCCTAAGTATAACAGAATGGCATAGACAGCCTTACATTAGACAGCAGGTCATCTCTCCTGGATATTAAGACCAAGGCTAGATAACCATTTATCGAGGGGATATTGCAGAGGGAATGCAAACATAATGGACTAACGTCCATCCCTTCTTCAGATTGCATGCAACTGAAGCCAGAAGAAATGCACTTCATATTCAAAGAGTGATCAGCTGGGAATTAATTCACTATTATATGCTACTGAGAGAACTAAAATACTAGTAGAATTACTTGATTATAGGAAATAATTTTTCTGTTGATTATTGATAGAACCTATCTCCTGCTCGCTTATACAGTCTAAATTTATGAATTAATGATTAATAGTTATTTAGGGTAGAGCTAAGATGGGCATTTGTGTTCATTTTTGAAATATACCATATACCTCTGGTGTTTGGAGGGCCTGGAGAAGGTGGACATACGAAGTATGGAAGTGGTGAACATGGGGTCTCAAAACATTCTATTAATAGTTTACTTAATCTGTAGGGAAAGTACATGTTTGTTTGTTTATAGCTAATGAATACTATGAATGTTCTTTGAATATATTCTGTGTTTAATTTTTAAAAATCACTTGCAAACTGAATTATAACATTTGTTAAATCTGGGTGATGTTTTGACTATGTATTATGTCTGTTTTTCTATAAGTAAGATACTTTGTAATATAGAAAGAGAAAAATGAGAACATACCTGCTAAGCTCTCTGAAGTTATATATTGCCCATCTGCACATAACTACTTTGATGGTGAATAATTGTGTGTGAGAGTAATTGACCCTTGTCTACAGAACTAGACAGTACGGATGGTGCCAAAGTTTTTAGTAAACAACCAGGAAGAATCCAAAGAGTAGCAAGAGGATCAGGTGTATCAACAAGAGATGTTCAAGAACTATTGACTCAATATACCAAGTTTGCACAGATGGTAAAAAAGATGGGAGGTATCAAAGGACTTTTCAAAGGTAAGAAAAAATAAGCTTGTTATTAGTTAACAGACTGAAAAGAAGCTGAGAAAAAAGTTAAGAGTACTGAAATTCACAGCTGAATTTCATGTTATTTTCAAGTACTTCCAGGATTGATAGAGTGACCCTTGATTTATCTGTTTTCATAGTCAAGTAATAAACATTAATTTTAAAAAAAAACTTACATCTTTGTAGTGTGGGTAAATGAAAAAATAAAAAATAAATGATTTTATTTTTATGAAGACATTATATTAAATTTAGATAATATAAGGGAAAAAAAATTACTCCCCAGAGAATCCAATGGATCCTACTGCAAATAACAGTTGCTGTAACTAGGCTGGGCACAGTGGCTCCCACCTGTAATCCAAGCACTTTAGAGGCCAAGGCGGGCAGATTACCTGAGGTCAGGAGTTTAAGACCAGCCTGACCAACATGGTGAAACCCCGTCTTTAAAACAACAACAACAACAACAAAGTTGCTGTAACTAATGTTTTCTTCTGATATAACTTTTTTCATGTTGTCAGATAGTCTTCAAAGTATAATTCTTGGCTGGATGTGTTGGCTCATGCCTATAATCCTAGTACTTTGGGAGGCTGAGAGGGGCAGATCATTTGAGATCAGGAGTTGAAGACCAGCCTGGCCTGCATAGTGAAACCCTGTCTTTACTTAAAATACAAAAAATAGGCCTAGCACCATGGCTCATGCCTGTAATCCCAGCACTTTGGGAGGCCGAGGCAGGCGGATCACGAGGTCAGGAGTTCGAGACCAGCCTGGCCAAGATGGTGAAAACTCGTCTCTACTAAAAATACAAAAATTTGCCAGGTGTGGTAGTGGGTACCTGTAATCCCAGTTAACTTGGGAGGCTGAGGCAGGGAGAATCACTTGAACATGGGATGTGGAGCTTGCAGTGAGCTGAGATCATGCCAGTGCACTCTAGCCTAGGGGACAGAGCAAGACTCCGTCTCCAAAAAAAAAAAAAAAAGGTACAATTTTACTAATGGTGACTTATTCACAGATATACAGATATAAGTAAAGTGTTAATATAAATTATAGCCTTAAGAAAGTCCTTTAAATGTCTTTTTGTATAGAATTTTACATGTTCCTCAAAAAATAGTATGTAATTGAGATAAAGATTAGAAGGGAATATGTTGAAATAGAAATAGAGTGATAAGATTATGTAACTTTTTTCTTTGTATCTTTGTATTTTCTTTGTATTTACTCAGTGCATCAAACTTTCTATTTTTTAAATTACTTTTTATTTAATTAATTTATTATTATTACTATTTTTGAGACAGAGTTTCGCTCTTGTTGCCCAGGCTGGAGTGCAGTGGCACATCTCAGCTCACTCTGCCTTCCAGGTTCAAGCGATTCTCCTACCTCATCTTCCAGAGTAGCTGGGATTACAGGCATGCGTCACCACACCCAGCTAATTTTGTATTTTTATTTGAGATGGAGTTTTTCCATGTTGGTCAGGCTGTTCTTGAACTCGTGACCTCAGGTGATTCACCCTCCTTGGCCTCCCAAAGTGCTGGGATTACAGGTGTGAGCTATTGCTCCCGGCCAATTTTTGTATTTTTAGTAGTGACAGGGTTTCACCATGTTGACCTGGCTGGTCTCAAACTCCTGGCCTCAAGTGATCTGCCCACCTTGGTCCCCCATGCCTGCTGGGATTACAGGCATGAGCCACTGTGCCCAGCCCCCTCAAACTTTCTGTTATACCCTGATTATGTTACCTCCCACACTGACTCAAAATCTTTTTTTTTTCAGGTGGCGACATGTCTAAGAATGTGAGCCAGTCACAGATGGCAAAATTGAACCAACAAATGGCCAAAATGATGGATCCTAGAGTTCTTCATCACATGGGTAAATACCAAGTTGTTGGCAGTTGCTAATGCAGTTTAATTTATAAGGGTTAAGTTTTAATTATAAGCTTTTTGTTATTATGAAAATCTGTTCAAAAGATGTCTGATTTTAGGGAAATGGTCATCTGAATCCTAAGCTGAATTAAATTGTAGTATTGGCTTATTAGCTGAGGTCTTATTATTCACTGCTCTGCTGCCACTTTGTGATTTTTGAGCAAGCTATTTAATCATCTTTTGTTTGTTTGTTCTGGTGACTTTTTCCCTTGTTTTAGAACCTGGATATTTTTAGTGATAGGGCTGAAGATTTTTAACCTTAGTTCTACTTTGACTGTATAACCTTTACAAAGTTCCTTAAACTTTCTGAACCTCACTTTCCCCTTGTGTAAAATCACAGATCATATCTCATCAACAAATTGTGACAATTAAATGAGATGACATATATGAAAACATTCAGTATGATTTCTGGGCATATAGTAGATGTTCAATAAATGAATTATTTTCTTTTTGTAAGTCCTATGAAATAATCCCCTATTGATTATTTTTTACATAACTTAGAGGAAGATCCTTTTGGATTTAAAAGAAAAAAAATTATATATATATAATTTTTTTTTTTTTTTTTTTTTTTTTTTTTTTTAATTTGAGACAGTTTCACTCTTGTTGCCAGGCTAGAGTGCAGTGGCCAATCTTGGCTCACTGCAACCTCCGCCTCCTGGGTTCAAGAGATTCTCCTGCGTCAGCCTCCCAAGTAGCTGGGATTAGAGGCATGTGCTACCACGCCCGGCTAATTTTGTATTTTCAATAGAAAGAGAGTTTCTGAGTCTCCATGTTTGGATCCCTTCCACAAATAATCCCTTGGTGGGAGCCTCTCTTCTCCTCCTAAACTCCATCTCTCTCTATTCCCTTCCACTCAGTGTGGAAGCTGCTTTCCTCTCCTGCATTCCATCTTTGTGCATTCTCTTGCTCAGTGTGAGAGTTAGCTGTTTCTTTCTCTCTACTTCTCCGGTTTCTCTCTCTCTCTACATAAATCACTTTCTACAAAAATAAAAAAAAAATAAAAAGAAACGGAGTTTCTCCGTGTTGGTCAGGCAGTTGTTGAACTCCTGACCTCAAGTGATCTGCCCACCTCAGCCTCCAGAAGTGCTGGGATTACAGGTGTGAGCCACTGCACCCAGCCTTTTGTTTAGATTTATTGACTGTGTGATGGGTACTATCCTAAGATCTTTTTATGTATCACCTCATTTATTCCTTACAATAACTTCATAAGATAGGCTATTCATTCTCTTTTATTGATGACGATACTGGTGACAATATAAATTTTTAGGTGGTATGTTCTTTAAGGCTGATGACTAAACTGCAATCAGAATTCAGTATTTTTAGAAGTACTTACTAGGCAAAAGTAATAAATGTTAGGCTGGGTGTGGTGGCTCACGCCTGTAATCCCAACACTTTGGGAGGCTGAGGTGGGTGGATCACCTGAGGTCAAGAGTTTGAAACCACCCTGACCAACAAGATGAAACCCCATCTCTATAAAAAAAGTTAAAAAAAAAAAAAAAAGCCAGGCACAGTGGCTCAAGCCTGTAATCCTAGCACTTTGGGAGGCCGAGGCGGGTGGATCACGAGGTCAAGAGATCGAGACCATCTTGGTCAACATGGTGAAACCCCGTCTCTACTAAAAATACAAAAATTAGCTGGGCATGGTGGCGCGTGCCTGTAATCCCAGCTACTCAGGAGGCTGAGGCAGGAGAATTGCCTGAACCCAGGAGGCGGAGGTTGTGGTGAGCCGAGATCGTGCCATTGCACTCCAGCCTGGGTAATGAGCAAAACTCCGTCTCAAAAAAAAAAGAAAAAAAGTAATAATGTTTCCAGTTCTGCTTAATAATTATCTGTTTTTAACTCGGTTTCCCTACTTTTGTTCTAGGTGGTATGGCAGGACTTCAATCAATGATGAGGCAGTTTCAACAGGGTGCTGCTGGCAACATGAAAGGCATGATGGGATTCAATAATATGTAAAGAAAATGCCTTAATATAAACTGACTCAGTTGAATACCTAATTTGCTGAAACCTCAAAGAGTTTCCCTTCTTTTTGAAAATTGGGGGGAAAATGTATTTTTCTTGCCTATCATGCCCTCTTCTCACCGCATTTCCCCCTCCTTTCCTTTTTCCTTCCTTCTTTCTTCCCTTTAATATAAGGGAGAAATATATGGTTTTTGTGGAAATCATTATATTTTTGCTTTAGATTTTTCTTCTGTTTTCACCATCATAACACAACAAATCATGATGTAAAATTTTAGTACTTAAAGGTTTTTAATTGGCTCGAAGGCCAAGCATTAAATTTGTAAATGGTCCTGGTCAGTAGTTAAATAATGTTTTAATTAAAGTGCTGTAAAATAAACTTCAAAGTGGTTATAAGTTAAAAGGTTGTTAACTTTCTTTGTGGTTAAAATTTATCAGTTTGATTATCACATAGAAAACTAAACAGAAAAGCCAATAGATAAATGTCATTTAAAACTATGCCTGGGGCTGGGCGTTGTGGCTCACACCTGTAACCCTAGCACTTTGGGAGGCCGAGGTGGGTGGGTCATCTGAGGTCAGGAGTTCCAGATCAGCCTGGCCAACAGGTGAAACCTCATCTCTACTCAAAATACAAACACTAGCCAAGTGTGTTGTTGCATGCCTGTAGTCCCAGCTACTTGGGTGCTGAGGCAGGAGAACTGCTTGAACCTGGGAGGTGAAGGTTGCATTGAGCCGAGATTTGCACCACTGCACTCTACCCTGGGTGACAGAGTGAGACTTGGTCACAAAACAACAACAACAACAAAAACCTATGACTGGAAATATACCTTTAATGGGAAATACGGTAGAGTAACTTTATCATTAGAGTATTGGGAACTTTTGTTTAACTTAGAATAATTAAGATAATTTTGCCATAGAAAAATCTTAGCTCTGCCATTTAAATTGAAATTAAGAGGCCAGGTGCAGGGAGCTCATGTCCAGGCTGGTCTGGAACTCATGAGCTCAAATGATCCACCTGCCTCGGTCTTCCAAACTGCTGGGAATACAGGCACAAACCACTGCACCCAGCCAATCATTGATTTTTTTTTTTTTTTTAAGACAGAGTCTTGCCCTGTCTTTAATCAATTTTGCCTACTGACAAGAAAAGGAAATTGAGACCTTTTGCCATAAGAACCTTTATGGCTTCAGGCATAGTTTTAAATATTTGTGTCTGACACAAACCATATTTTTCAGAAGCAGAAACAACAGTGACAAGACAGGCACCGTGAACAAGACATTGATGCACACCTGTAGAACCAGTTACTTGTGAGGCTGAGGTAGGAGAATCAGTTGCTTGAGTCCGGGAGTTGGTGGCCACAGTGAGCCATGATCATTGATGAATAATCACTGCTGATGAATAGCCACTGCACTCCAGCCTTGGTAACATAGCGAGACCTCATCTAAAAAACAACTGAGTACAGTAGCTCATGCCTATAATGCCAGCACTTTTGAGAGGCTGAGGTGGGCAGATCGCTTGAACCCAGGAGTTCCAAACCAGCCTGGGAAAGAAATTCCACTGCTACAAAAGATCCAGAAAGTAGGCTGGGCACAGTGTCTCATACCTGTGAAACCAGCACTTTGGGAGACCAAGGTAGACGGGTCACTCAAGGTTAGGAGACCAGCCTAACCAACATGGTAAAACCCCGTTTTTACCAAAAATACAAAAATTAGCTGGTCATGGTGGAGGGCACCTGTAATCCCAGCTACTTGGGAGGCTGAGGCATGAGAATCACTTGAACCTGGGAGGCAGAAGTTGCAGTGGGCCAAGATCATGCCACCACACTCCAGCTTGGGCGACAGAGTGAGACTCTCTAAATATCTCAAAAAAAAAAAATGTCAGGTGTAGTGGTGTGTGCCTATAGTCCCAGCTTCCTAGAGGACTGAGGTGGGAGAATTGCTTGAGCCTAGGAGGTCAAGGCTGCAATGAGCCAAAATGGTACCACTGCATTCCAGCCTGGATGATGGTGAGACCCTGTCTTTAAATAAATAAATAAAATAAAGGAAAACTAAAGGTTCAGGATACCTTGTTCAGCTTCCCTTTATCCTTCTTTTTCTGCTAAAATTAGGGAATTTAAAATGTTCTTTAAAATTGATTCCATTAGGTCCTCAAACTGGCATTTTAGTTACAAAAGCTATCCTTCAAGTTCTCACAATTTTTATTGAGGTGATGTTTCACGACCTAAGTACTACAGACCTGTATTAGTCTGTTTTGATGCTGTTGATAAAGACATACCCAAGGCTGGATAATTTATAATGAAAATTAGGTTTAATGGACTTACAGTTCCAGGTGGCTGGGGAGGCCTCACAATCATGGTGGAGGGCAAAAGGCACATCTTACATGGCGACAAGAGAATGAGAACCAGGCGAAAGGGTTTTCCCCTTAAAAAATTATCAGATCTCATGAGATTTATTCACTACTATGAGAACAGTATGGGGCAAACCGCCTCCATAATTCATTTATATTCTACCAGGTCCACAGCCAAACCATATCATTCTGCCCCTGGCCCCTCCCAAATCGTACATTTCAAAACCCATCATGCCTTCCCAACAGTCCCCCAAAGCCTTATTTCAGCATTAACTCAAAAGTTCACAGTCCAAAGTCTCATCTGAGACAAGGCAAGTCCCTTCCACCTCTGAACCTGTAAACCTGTAAAATCAAAAGCAAGTTAGTTACTTCCTAGATACAATGAGGGTATAGGCATTGGGTAAATACAGCCATTACAAATGGCAGAAATTGGCCAAAACAAAGGGGCTACAGGCCCCATGCAAGTCTGAAATCCAGTGGGGCAGTCAAATCTCAAAGCTCCAAAATGATATCCTTTGATTCCATGTCACATTTCCAGATCACGCCTGATGCAACATCTGGGCTCCCACAGCCTTGGGCAGCTCTGCCCCTGTGGCTTTGCAGGAACAGTCCCCCTCCTGGCTGCTTTCACAGGCTGATGTTGTCTGTGGCTTTTCCAGGTGCACAGTGCAAGCAGTTGGTGGATCTACCATTCTGGGGTCTGGAGGACGGTGGCCCTTTTTCACAGCTACACTAGTGCCCCAGTGGGCTCCAACCCCACATTTCTCTTCTGGGCTGCCCTAGCAGAGGTTCTGTGTGAGAGCCCTGCCCCTACAGCAATCTTGAATCCCTACATCTGGGTGTTTCCTTATATCCTCTGAAATCTAGGTGCAGGTTCCCAAACCCCAGTTCTGTACACTTGCAGGCTCAACACCAAGTGGAAGCTGCAAAGGCTTGGTACTTGTATCCTCTCAAGTCATGGTCTGAGCTGTACCTTGGTCCCTTTTAGCCATGGCTAGAATGGCTGGGACACAGGGCACCCAGTCCCAAGGCTGCACACAGCAGGAGGGCCCTGAGCCAGGCTAAAAAACCATTTTTCCTCCTAAGTCTCTAGGCCTGTGATGGGAGAAGCTGTTGCAAAGGTCTCTGACATGCCCTGGAGACATTTTCCCCATTGTTTTGATGATTAACATTTGGCCTTTTTTTTTTTTTTGAAGATGGAATTTTGCTCTTGTTGCCCAGGCTGGAGTGCAATGGCACAATCTCAGCTCACCACAACCTCTGCCTCCTGGGTTTAAGCAGTTCTCCTGCCTCAGCCTCCTGATTAGCTAGGATTACAGCTATGTGCCACCACGCCCAGCTAATTTTGTAGTTTTAGTAGAGGTGGGGTTTCTCTATGTTGGTCAGATTGGTCTCGAACTTCTGGCTTCAGGTGATCCACTCACCTCAGCCTCTCAAAGTGCTGGGATTACAGATGTGAGCCACCATGCCAGGCAGCTCCTCATTACTTACGCAAATTTCTACAGCCAGCTTGAATTTCTCCTCAGAAAATGCATTTTTCTATCACATAGGCTGAAAATTTTCTGAATTTTTATGCTGTTTCCCTTTTAAAACAGAATACTTTTAACAGCACCCAAGTCACCTCTTATTTTTTTAAAACAGCATTGCATATTGACCAAGTCACCTCTTGAATGGTTTCCTGCTTAGCAATTTCTTCTGCCAGATACCCTAAATCATCTCCCTCAAGTTCAGAGTTCCACAAATCTCCAGGGCAGAGACAAAATACTGCCAGTCTTTTTGCTAAAACATAGCAAGAGTCATCCTTACAAGCCAGTTCCCAACAAGTACATCATTTCCATCTGAGACCACCTCAGCCTGGATTTCATTGTCTATATAATTATCAGCATTCTAGTCACAGCCGTTTAACAAATCTCTAGGAAGTTCCAAACTCTCCCACATTTTCCTGTCTTATTCTGAGCCCTACAAACTGTTCCAACCTCTGCCTGTCACCCAGTTCCAAAGTCACTTCCACATTTTTGGGTACTTTACAGCAGCACCCCACTCTACTGCTACCAGTTTACTGTATTAGTCTGTTTCATGCGGCTGATAAATACATACCCAAGACTGGATAATTTATAATGAAAAAGAGTTTTATTTGACTCAGTTCCATGTGTCTGGGGAGGCCTCACAATTATGATAGAAGGTGACAGGCACATCTTACATGGCAGCAGACGAGAGAATGAGAACCAAGCAAAAGGGGTTTCCCCTTATAAAATCATCAGATCTCATGAGACTTATTTGCTACCATGAGAACAGCATGAGTGAAACTGCCCTTGCGATTCAATTAACTCCCACCAGGTCCCTCCCACAGCATGTGGGAATTAATGGGAGCTACAATTCAAGATGAGATTTGAAGCTAAACCATATATCAAAATCAAATCCTTTAATAATTTGAACAAATTTCCATTTGTTTTTCACTATTGTTAAAATTGACTCCATCGTTTTTTGATATACTCCCAACGGAGGCCACTAGCTAGCTCTAATACTGTACAACACTGAAATCTTCCTGAATTTTATTATAATGTTAAATATATGTAACCATAAAACTAGGTATAGCTTCCTTAAGCTTACAGTGCTCATGTAATTATAAGACAAAAACAAATTTAGAAATTACATACCAACAAACTGTAAAACCAAGAGAGGGGAAATAAGTGATTTTTAAAAGTTTGTTTTGACACAGGGTCTTTGCTCTGCCACCCATGCTGGAGTACAGTGGTGCAGTCATGGCTCACTGCAACCTTGACCTGAGCTTAGGCAATCTTCCCACCTCAGTCTCCTGAAGAATTGAGACTATTGAAGTATGCCACCATGCTCAGCTAATTTTTTATTTTTTGAGATGGAGTCTTACTCTGTCACCCAGGCTGGAGTGCAGAGGCACAATCTCAGCTCATTGCAACCTCCACTTCCCAGATTCAAGCGATTCTCATGCCTCAGCCTCCCAAGTAGCTCTATATGTATCATTAAATGATATATTTAGACCACATTATGTTTTCAAGTGGATAAATTACTGTAATACTTGA